CCCAAGAGAGGGAGGGGCGCGGGGTGAGAGGATGTTGGGGGGGGGGGGGGGTGTAAATGCCACCCAACTTCACGCTTATGTCTTAGCCTGCCCTGGTCTCTGCTTTCCAAGCTCTGTGGTGAGTGGAGAATATGAGTGATTCAAGGCTGCTGGTGCAGGTCACTGCTCTCTGCTGGAGGAGCCTCTCTCTGCTGGCTCCACAGGCACCAGGTAAATCAGTGCCTGAAAGGGAGCGGCGTGAATACCTATTAATGGTAGCAATCACTAACGACCATCCTGACACCCTACTGATGCTTTTTGGTAAATGCAATAAATACCCTGGCTAAAGCCTCAGTTGGTTTTAATCAAAATCTGTGTAACAAACTCCAATGATGAGAAAACTTGATGGGAAGCAATTCTGACTCGATACAAATGACTAGACTCGGTTTAGGATGGAAACCAGGTGATTTTATGATTTTATATATTAGAGCCTGGGGCAAAGACGATTGTGCCAGACTGCAGGCAAGATTTTTTCTCTCGGTGAGGAAGTTTTGTCACGCCAGCAGCCAGCGTGAAGCCAGCGTGCTTTCCGGGCAGAGGCTGACGGGAAGGAAAGCAGCATGCCGAGCCCGCGCTGGGGCTCCGCGAGGAGTGGGTGTCCCTCGACCGCACTGCTGATCTCAAGGAAATGAAACAGCAAGGAGATAGAAGCAGCGCTCGGTGGAAAGGATAAGGAAAGGGAAGAGAATGAGTGAGTGAGAAGAGGAGGACAGCCGAGTCTTTCAGTCTGAGCGCTGTTTATTTGGCGTACCCAATGTCCGCATGTTTGTTCCAGGTATTATAAAGCTGGGCAGGACAAGTGCAAACCCAGTGCTGTTTAAAGAAAAGCACAAAGATTCTCAAAGGGACGGTCGTTCTTTTTTGCTTATGCTTCACACTTAAAATCTGTGTGTGTTTGGTACAGATTACTATGCCCTCTTCGGTACCATGTGCCACGGCTGTGAATTCCCCATTGAAGCTGGAGACCGGTTTCTTGAAGCCCTGGGCCACACTTGGCATGACACTTGCTTCGTATGCTCAGTAAGTAAAGCTAGTCTACGTTTTAAACGAATCCATGGTAACAGTGCTTGTGCTAACCTGACCGATGTGGGAGTAACAGCAAAAAAAAGCCTTTCAGTCCTCACAGGCCAAACAAAAGGCACTTTCACAGTTCTTCGTAAGGTGGTTGCTATTGTGCTCTTTCGGCACCAGTCCAGATCCTTTGGCCTGGATCACTGCCATGCGCCCCAGCATTTAACCCTTGGCGTTTATACTTCCTCAGAGCAAGCGTTCAAGTCCATGAGCGAACGTGCTGTATTTCTAAAACGTCAAGAGTGCCTTTGACACAGAGAGCCCAGCTATCACCAGCTGTATTCTATGACCAACCCCAATGAAGAAAACAACCCCAACGATGGGATATTTTTTCAATTGCTGACCTAATTCTGCTCCCGGTTAAGAACCTATTGACATAAAAAGGAGAAGGTTATGCTTATATCACCCGTTTGTTTTATCCCAAAGAGCATCTCTGAGAACAGGGTGACAATCCTTACTGTCTGAATATATTTTGTACGTGGTCCCGTGCCATGATTTGGCATTCTGAATAACGTATAATGTAACGCATCCATCTGAATTGGATGATATGTTCTTTTTAATCCCATTTCAGGTGTGTTGTGACAGTTTGGAGGGTCAGACTTTCTTCTCCAAGAAGGACAAGCCACTGTGCAAGAAACATGCTCACTCTGTCAACATCTGATGCTGGGAGCCCATCTTGTTTAGCAAATGTACTGAGTGGAAGGAAAGGTTAAAATGTCCATGCTCAATAATCGGTTAAAAGTATTTATATATGTTTTTCTAAAAATGCAAGAGAAATGTGGAAGCTTTAGGGGTTTTGTACACTGATCTTTGGAGTGTTTATCAGTTAGGGGTTTGCTTCACGAAAAGATCCACACACCCAAGCCAAACTATCAGAGTGCCTTTATTTCTATACCTGGCACGTGACTGTATTGGTTTCATGATTTTATGACCACATTTATATCTGCTTCAGTATTAGAAGGGAAACTTCTATAAAAATACAAGCCTGATATTGGAAATCTTGGTTTTGCTGCTGCTCAAAAAAAAAAAAAAAAAAAAAAAAAGAAGGGGTTGACTTCAGCTCTCCGGATCACTTTATTGCGCTGATGTTTTTTAAAGTGCGTCTAGAAGTACTGAAGCTAAACTCCATTATTCCATGAAAAGAGGAGCTCAAAGGTGAGATAAGATTAGATGGAGTGGAGTTCAGTGCCTGACATTTTTGTCTGATGCTCATGTTCATCAACCCTCCTGCACAACTATACGTACCTGTGCCTTGGGCAGTTACATCTCTGATGGGACTGCGAAGGACTGAGATTTTTACAAAGCTTTTCAGTGGAAGAGTGGCTACTCAAGTGAAGCAGAATAATTTAAAAGATGCCACTTGGAAGCAAACATAGAGGGGACACACTTCTTTAAAGCATGGCACGTGCTGCCAGGCTACTAGCCAAAGAAGTGCTAGGGAAAGTGTGTTTGACGGGAAGAAAACGTCAGATCAGATCTTAAACGTAGGGGAGTGGGGTTCATATGCCTATGTTCACGGTTCAGGTTTTAGATAGTTATAAGTACCTGGGAAAGGGGACGTTGCATTGATTCTGCATGTAGCAGTGTTTTATACCCAGAACGTGAGGCTTTGGGGTCTAATGAGGGAAACTTTGGAAGTGCAACTGAGGACATTGTTTTTCTCTCAGTACATTCTTTATGATATGTAGCTCATGAATATGTATATTGGTGGTTCGCCAGTTAGTGTACTGAAAACTTATTTTCTTGCTCGGCTGTTACAATTTTTATTAGTTTAGTTTTTCTCTCTTTTCCTCCAGATGTAAGGAATGTATTGTGGAATAATATAATATTGAGTTAGGCAGTTCAGTATCTCTCAGTTCTTGCGAGGGAACGGGGACAATACTGTCATTATGTGTTTCTTGCAAACCAGGAGACTTTGCCAATTCTGTGGCTTGATCTGAATTTCGCCTCCATCCAGAGAGGCGGCGCAAGACCCGTGCACCAGCTCAGTCCCACTTAACTTCAGATGAGGGCTTAAGTGATGTGTAGCGATCGCAGGCTTATAGGGAGGAGGTGATGGCCCTCTGCATGGGGTGAATTTCGCTCCAGCGGGGTCGCGCAACAGAGGAGGGGGCCTCTTGGTGCCAGGTGAGGTCCCTGATGGAAACTGAACTTCTGTGCTATGTAATTCAGCTGGGATGTCAGAGCCGAACTGTTAGTCTTCACTGCCCTTTGCAGTAGACGTTAAAAGTGACCGTTTACTGGGGTTTTTTTTTACTGATGCTGAAGAGATTATGTACTGATACAAAGGAGAGATGTTTATCCATCAAATCACTGCAAGAGTTACAAAGAATTGGCATATGCAGTTATTTGTTTGCCAGGGGTCAGTAAAGCAGTTGTAACAAAGAATGTCAACGAAAAGAGGGGAAAAAACGAAACTGCTCTACTGAAATACGGGAAGTTATTTGGCATTTTTATTAATTCAGTGAGGCAGGGCGACATAATGTGTTGTTTCAGTTTATTTCCTGAAATTGTTTTTTAAGTTATTTTCCTTCAGTACTACCATCTTCCTTTTTTATCTTCTGGTAGTATGGAAAAAAAAGTGGAAAGGAGTTAAAAAATGTTTACACGGCCTTGTAGATGCGGGCTTGGCTGAAAATCAGCGGGACAGAGGCAGACGGGGCAAGATGCGGCGGAATGAGTCAGGCTGCTTTTGAAATTAGCAGAATGTGGAGAAACGAGACTCAAATCCGAGGTTTCAGTGGAGCTACGTTGCACATGGATGAGGAAAGAGGGTGGGAAGGCACAGGGTAAAGCGTTTGGTAATTTCTGTAATTCAAACCTTGCTATTTTAAAGTAGGATGGAAACTTTTCAGTGGGCACAACAGTTGCCTATGTCCTTCAAATTAAATTGAAATTTTGTAATCTTAACCTTTATTGGAATTGCATTTATTAATCTGTATTCTCTAGAATTTGAAGTTCTGCAATTGTTAATGAATTTGAGGACAAAAGCCTGAGAGGCTCCAATAGTACTGCTTCATTTAGCTGCTTTGCCTTGTAATTTCTTCTTTGTCTATTTGTTTAAAATTAAAAAAGGAATCACTGATACATGATGAGTATTTAATGGCTCTACCAAATTATATAAATGAACTAAAACAAAAAGGAACATAATGTTTATCATTATTTTAATAAGTGAGATTTTAGTAGAGCACTTTATAATAATGCCATATATCTCACGGAGTATTTATTTCATTTTTCTCGTTAGGGCTGTTTCGTGCTGGTATCTTTGTATTTTGTTTCATTTGTAAGCCTGCATATTTACCTCTAGAATCTTTTGGGGTGCGTGTATGTGTGTGTGTTTATATATACATATCTTCTGTATACACAAATACATGTATGTGTGTGTATATTGAGAGACGTGTATATGTGCACATACACACACACACACACACACACACACACACACACACACACACACACACGTGTGTATTTGACTGCAGACTTGACTTAGCAAAAATCAGCACCGTTTCATTATCGTTTGGGGTTTTCATAAGATTCCCAACTGTTTTTCATATGACAGACCTACCACGTTCTTGTTTTGAGGGAATGCTAGAAAGTCTAGGGCTCAGCCCCTTCTTGCAGAAAAGGAGAGACATAGTAACATAACTACTGTAGTTTTTTGCATGCATTTTCAGTCAGTAATTACTTTCTCTTCCAAAATCGTGCCTATAAGATAATTGGGTTTAACTCTGTTTGCAGGTAGAAGGTCTTTATAAGTGAATAATTGAGTCATGATGACAGTTTCAGTATATTGTAACGAAATAAATCAGAATTATGTGTAAATATAACAAATGCTTAATATAACAATGCAATAAATCTAAAAGCAAAAATTGAGTAGTGGTTCCATACGCATTGTGCCGTTCAGTTGCACAGTACCTGTTGTTTTCGTGGAGCTACTCGCATCTTCCAGTCATGAATAGCTTTGCAAACAAGAATAAGGAGGAGAGGGAACTACATCAGTTCACAGATTAGTTGTTTGAATTCCTGTGTTTTTCATTTTGTTTTACTCTTAAACAATCAGCTGTTAAGTCCTGGTGATTTGCTTGCTTGCATTTAATAGTCTTTGGTTTCAAGTTTTGCCTGTTCACATTTGCAAATTTAATAAAGACGCACTTTCTCTTTTCAGTTGCTTTGGGGTGTGTGTGTTTTTTTTTTTTCCTAAGTCCTAGTCATAGTGATTGTACACATGAATAAACATCATTTGTGTTGCTTGATCTTCAGGGTTTTTTTAGCTGAATGGAGGTTTGCTTTGCAGAAAAACACCTGGAGGTCCAACACCAAGTTGACCATGACCCAGCAGCGCGTCCTTGTGACAAAGAAGGCCAGCAGCCTGCCAGGCTGTGTGAGGCAGAGCGTCGCCAGCAGGGCCAGGGAAGTGATCCTTCCCCTTGGCTCATTACTGATGAGACCCATCTGGAGGGGGCTGGGTCCAGTCCTGGCCTTCCCAGTACAAGGGAGACAGGATGCTACTGGAGTGAGTCCAATGAGAGGCCACAAAGTCAAGGGACTGGAGCATCTCTCATAGGAGGAGAGGTGAGAGAGAAGAGGCGGTTCGGGGCGATCTTATCAATGTGTATAAATATCTTGGCGGGGAGGGTGTAAAGAAGTGGTATGTAGTGAAAACACAAGAGGCAATGGGCACAAATGGAAATACAGGAAAATGAAGAAAAAAAACCTTTTTTTTTTCTTTTTTTTTAACTGTGAGGGCAGTCAGACACTGGAACAGAGGTTGTGGAGTCTCCATCCTTGGAGATGTTCAAAACCCTACTGGACAAGGCCCTGGGCAATGTGCTGCAGGTGACCCTGCTTAAGCAGCACGTTGGCCTCTGATCTCCAGAGGCGTCTCCCAACCTCACTGAGTCTCTGATTCTGTGCCTTTCCTGAAGACGGAATGAGAGATGGAAATACGGTATTAAACACTGCAGAATATATAACCGCGTAAAACTTCACGTTGACCTATTACTACCTGATATCTTTATTTCATTCTAAACCCAACTAGAATACTTTGCAATGTTTATCTAGACGTGTTCAATATTTTCCCTAGGCTGAGACTGTTGAAGGAATTGCTGCCTGTTCTGGCAAGCGTTATCTGGTACTGTACTCAGCCTTGGCACAAAGCATCCTCTGCCTTCTCCGAGGGATACTTAACCATCTACTCTAACGTGGTCAAGTACTTCATGATAACAGCAGCCTCGTAGCATCCTCCTTAGCCCAATATCTCCTAACTAGGCAAACGCACTGCTGTTTTCTACCTTTGTTTATACAAGCGAAGGAAAACACTGCACATAGCTCTATAAAATCTCGAGGCAGCTTTACAGAAAATTTGCCTCCCCTTCAGTGTTTAGGCTATGAATGAGACAAATGCAAGTCTATTTGCAAACAGTATATTAAACTCCAGAAGCCAAACTTTTAAAGGCATCAAGTCTGCGTTTGACAGTTTAATGGCAAAGGTTTGGTTTCTATCCATCACAACGTCACGTAACATTAAAATGCACCGAAGAAAATAAGAGATCTGTCATTCATTCATTAAGACACTGTAATCCAGTGTAAGATTTATAGGCTTAAAACTCAACAGTGTGTTTTCACAATAAATCCACTTTCACTGCTCAACCCAGAACAAATCTCTCTGTCACTCAAAATGTTTGCTCGTCAGAATGCCCTGTATGAGATCTTCAAAGAGTTTCTCACAAAATTGCATATAAATCCTTTTACCAGCAAAGGCTTAATTTAGGTTCGAGTTTTACTTTCTCAGGACATTGGTTAATATCTTGTGCTCAGACAAGATCTTGGTTATATCAGAAACACGTAGGTCCTAATTTATTATTAGAAGTCTGGTGTTAATTAGGGGGAATTACCAGAAATAGTTTGCTTGATGGAAATTTATTATGGGATCACACTTTACTGATGGCAAAATAGGAGTCACTGAAAGAGTGCAGCTCCTTCTCATAACCAACTAATTAATAAGGTGCCAAAATTCCTCTGAGAAGGGTTTGGTCCTAACTATGGGAACCTCACAAGCAAATGGTTCCTATGCAGTATTTAAAATTTAAAAGAGGAAAAGAGCAGCGAAAAGAGCTGCCCAACAGAAGGCTCAAGAGTGGAATGGCTTTTTCTTGAATTTATAAAAGAAAATGTTTTGATGTGTTTCTAGACTCATTAAAGAATCGCTTTTCCCAGGCAGCAAAACAACAGCTAATTTATAATCTCTCGTTTGGTGTTCGCAAACTTGTTTTTCGGTTTTATTTGGGCACATTGCACATTATAGCCTGTAATTTTATGGATTGGACTTATA